AAAAAAAAAAAAAGCTTAATGTTATCTAACTTGAGAAAAAAAAGGATAATTAAACCATAAAGTATGCATAATATTTAATGGATTTAAGAATCGCTCTTGCACAAATCATAAATCAATAAAAAAATAATTGAATTTGAATGCAATGTAATAAAAAAAAATAATTTTTAAAAAATAGCCAAAAAAAAAAAAAGATTTATTTGTATACAAATTACAATTTTTTTCTCTTATTTCTTAGAATTCCTTTTAAACCCAACTTATAAATCATAAGTCACTTCTTTTTTCATTGGATAAAGTTTCACTCATACTTTATACAAACTAGAAAATAAGTACATTAGTGTCTTCAACCAATACTTCTTCCTCTCCCTAAATTTTTCTATATGCGGATCCGCCTATGTGTATTAGCTTCTTTGCCCGCATCCGTCTATGATATGGGAACATTAGCTTATTTAATACCGCATCCAGGCGTGGGTGTAGTTGCCTTTGTACACTTTTTGTTGTATTTAGGCCATACAACATACCACTTCTAAATAACGCCCTAGCATTAACATATTCTATGAAAACATTCATGTCATGATTATTCGATTAGTTTTACGCTCGTTATTGAATATCTAATGCAATCCTCCATTTTTTTCATGTAGGGCTTGAGACTCAATAATGATAATATTCTCATAATTCGCAAAGTTTTCATCTTCTTGGTCTCATCATCATTTTTTAATTCGTTGCTTCTTCTTTACTGATGATCTTTTGTTTGAATCAAAGGCATCATCCAAAAGTTTTCTAGACTTAGATGTCTAAAAGCTCGGATTAGAATGAATCTTGAAAACTAAAAGATATGCAAAATGATTTAAGTTTTATTTGGGACAAGTTTTAACTGTTTTTTAAGATAATTTTTTAATACAAAAATTTATAGTTCAAAAAATTTTGTACTTAAAAACTATTACAACAACAACAACAACATCAAGCCTTTATCCCACTACGTGGGGTAGGCTACATGAATTCTTTTTCTCTATTGTGTCATATGAAAAGTCAAATTCTCATTTAAATCTAATAAAGAAAGATCATTCCTAATTGTTGCGTCCTGAAGTATTTGCGGCGGTAGAGAAGTATAAAGTTTAAAGTCTTAGCGTTGTACTAAGATTCAGCACACACACACACACAGATAAAGAGAGAGGGTCTAGCATTTATGAGCCACCAATATTTTTACGTGGAAAACCCCTGAAAAGGGGGGAAAAACCATGGGGCCTAGCTCAGTTTGAATGAATCCACTAGTATTCGTAGTTGATTACAAATGAGGCCCTTCCTTAGAGGAAGGCCTTAGCTTGATGTACATCATATAGAGTACATTACATGATATGGATACAAAGAATCACTGTTGATGTATTTGTTTGGTCTGAAGGATTGTAGTCGGTGGGCGACATAAGTCTGAATGACCGTAGTCGGCGGGCGACGGAGGTCGGAAAGACTGTAGTCGGTGGGCGACGTAAGTCAGGAGGACCGTAGTCGGCGGGCGATGGAGGTCGGAAGGATCATAATCGGAGGGCGACGGAGGTCCGAAAGATGACGTCTGGTAGAAGTCCAGCAATGGACATAAATCTAACATTAAATAGATGTCCGGTGAAAGTTAGACAATAGGCAGAAGTCCAGTGTTGGGTAGAAATTTGGTGACGAGCGGAGGCCCGGTGTCGGGTAGAAGTTCGATGCCAATTGACGGCCGAGGAGAATTCTGGCGTTAGATGGTATTCGGGTAGAACTCCTACGTCACTTGGAGGTCAGGCGAAATTTTGGTGTCACTTGGACATAATACCGGCGTTTCGTGGAGTCGGGCGGAATTCCAGCTTCACTTGAACAGAATTCTAGCGGCGCTGGTCGAGGAGTTCTTCCCTCCTATCCTTCTTCTCTTCTCTTCTCCTTCTTCTCTTGCTTCGGGCCCCTCTCAAGAGAAATGAGGAGTCTATTTATAGATTTCTGGAGTGACATGACCTGTAAATAGGTGAGAGATCAGGGGCGAATCGGGAGTGGTTTGAATGGACGACCGATATTGAATCCCTTGATCATAGACCGTTCGTTAGACATTTGAAGGTCTTAATGATGTCAGAATATGGCGATCTTGGGCTCGTTGGATTCATCTCGTCGAGACGCTCGATTCGACTATAAGCATGTCATATTTGGAAGCCATTTGGTAATCCAAATTATGGATTGAACCTTCCTAATGTGCTTCGAGCCTTTTATTCAGAATCATTTGGACTCTGATTGAGTCGAATTTGGTGTCGTTGGGTTCATATTTCCGAGACGCTCAGTTTGACTGTAAGTTTGCTGAAATCGGAGTTCAGATGATCCCAGAATTAATTTTTGAAGTCTCCAACTTGATTTTTGCCTCAAGATTCGTGCTCGATCAAGATAATATTTCGAGGATATATCAAGTCTTTTTAGAGGATATATTTTCTAACCAAGTTTTTTTAGTTCTGCCTCTATCTTTTTTAACATAAGTCAAATCTAATACCTCTACTCTCCTAATCGGATCATCGGAAGACCACTGTTTTATGTGACCAAACCATCTTAAGGTGACTCTCTCTAATCTTATTTTCTACTGAAGCTACTCCAACCTTTTTAAAAACTGTATTAAAAAAATTAATAAGAAAGTTATTTCAAACTAAGCCTTATTTTGACCTTGTAACGTGCAATCAATTCATGAGGGTCAAATCACAAAATATCACTCAGACATACATATACTTGAAACAATGTCAACAATAGGTCAAAGAACAAACTAATAAACAAAATATATTTGTAATTATTGACCTCTACCAATAAGATATGCCGACATATTCTCAGTCAACAACAAGATGAGGCCAAGTTTAATTTTCTAATAAAGTTTATGCCATCGAAATCATTTTTTAAATACCTTTCAATTGTTTTAGGCTTCATTTGGACGGACAATTTTCTTCTTGAAGTAATTATTTAATATAAAAATTAAAATTTAAGATTTAAAAACTTAAATAAAGAAATAATAAAAAAACCCTTCACAAATGGTACAAATGATCCTTAATTTCTTGAGTTTCAAAATCAATTTCCTAGCCGGGTACGATTTCCCTCAGGCTTCAAAAGCATCAAGGAGTCGCATTTTTTACCATCTTAGGTTTGGAAGTTGGTGTTTCACTGGGGAAATTATTAGGTCCGGTCACCTGATAGAGAGACATCCGAATTCCTCCTTATCTACAGTCAAAGCGCAACTGCTACAGTAACTACGCTTTGACTGTGCTTTTGTTGTAGACAGAAAAATTCGGATGTATTTCTCTGTCAGGCAACCGGACCTAATAATTTGCCATTCCAGTGAGATGAAAAGTCCCATTTAATATCATCTCTCTCTCTCTCTACTTAGGGAGCCTTGTGAGTCTTGGAAGTAAGAATCTAATATCATCTCCAAGCAAATATGGATGCAAAAATAGAGATGAGTGTAAATAGAAATATTAAAATCATAATCTATCAACTTTCAAAGAACAAAACACAAGAAAACCATCATTAATTAAACCTGCTTTAACAATATCTATTCCACACAAACCGACTTAAATTGCTCATCCCAGTCCATAGATAACACTTATCTCACATAGCACAATAGTATACAATCTGCCATATTTTATGATCAGCTTCTATTGTTGAGAAACTTGCCTGCTTGAGAGGCTAGAGCAAGGGACTTGGCGGTTGTGCTGCTCATCAACAGCTCCTTCTCCGCCCTTCTTCTATGCTGTCTTGCATTCTTTGCTCTCTTTGGAGCTAACTTGGCATCCCTCTCCATGAAAGCCAATCTGAACTTCTCCGCAATGCTCATCTCCGGCGCCTCGGCCTCCGCCTCCGCAGATGCAATGGGAGTTTTCCGAGCATGGCTGATGCCTGAAACTGCCCATGTTTTGGGATCGATGTCCTCCACAACATGATGGTCAAGTGCTACAGAGTGCATGGCTTCCGCAGGAACTCGAACGCCCCGAACACCGATCGATCCTTGCGGATTGACGCAGATGCGAGAACATTCGGTTGCTAAGGTCATTTTTGAATCCTCATCAATCTTAGGCTGGCCATTTAAAAAAAGTGTCATGAATGAAAATATTAATTGTATTATCAGCTTGTCTAATTTTGACTCGATTAAAAGCTCCACTTCAAGCCCGAAATCGATTTTGAGTTTGCTCCAACTTACTCGTTTAAGTTCAAGTCATATATATTCTTCATAACATAATATTTGTAAAGAATAAAAAATCAATAGCAAATTGACTCAAATCCAAATCATTTTGAGTAGTGAACTTAACTAAAATGATTTTGATTTTTAGTAGAGCTCCGTGGAGCATTTATATAAGCTCTGCTATTGTCTTACAAAGCGTAAAAGAAAATGCTAGAGATGAGGTAAAATACAACTATATTTGATAAGCGACGTTGCAGGATTCTAAATAGGTAGATTTTGAGATAAAATATTTACCCACACAAGCCAGCGCAGTGATTGAGCGCCATTGCCAATATCCATGATCTCCAGCTCCTCCCATGATTCTCCATCCAAATTATCTAATTTAGGCTTCAAGATACTCAAGCATCTACGTGCAGTAAATTCACTCCTCGGGCTTCCTCTGCAATCATCGTATTTAATCTTTGTTCATATCCTGTTGTATAAATATAATCCTAATCAAATTATATAAAACTACAATCCATCATCATACAAAAACTATCTTGCTAAAAAATAGCAACTAGTATGATTTAAAGAACCTTAGGCAGGACAATATCACTTCTTTCTAATTCTAGCAACAAGTCAATTCGATCTCATCTGAACATAAAAAAGAAATCTAGCAATCTGAAGCAAAACTATTCTTACCCGCATCTCAATGTTGCCAATGAACGGCAATGATCAAAGAGGCCTGTCACACCTGCAACAGTAATTTTGTCGCACCGGCTGCACAAAAAACAAAAGAGCCATTCTCAGATTTTCTCATAGAAAGGCAAAATGAAAGAAGCTAGTAAGGAGTTCAATGAATTCGAAAGGCTCATCAAATTTGAGACTGCTATATATATCCCCACATCAAAATGTGTGGAAATCAACGCCCAGTCTTGCAGAGTTGCCAAATCTTTTTCAAGAGAGAAAATATTGAATCATAAGCTCTATTATAAACCATACAAGAATTACAATTTGGTTTAAATTTCAAAATAATCCTTCAACTATTCGTATATGATCATTTTATTCTCAAAGTATAACGTTGCTCCAATTTAGTCCATCAATTATATAAAATTGATCCAAAATGGTTCCAATGGGCTAAATTGGGATCAATTTTGTAATGGCAAGGGATTAAATTTGGATCAATTTTATATCACAATTATAACATGACGAACTATTTTGGATCAATTTTATATAGCTGAGGGACTAAATTGGATGGAAACATAATACTATGAGACTATTGGTCATACATAAATAGTCTAAAGACTATTTTGATATTTTTCTAATTACAAATTTTTTTAAATGAGAAATTAGAGCTTGCTTAGCCACCAAATAATCCAGAAAGGAAAACGAGAGGCTTTTTTTAGGAGGGATAAATAACACCAGTCTGCTCCAAAATGAATAACAATAAACTTAAGAACCTTTTTGTAGTTTTCATATTGAGTGGCAGGATAGCATCTATAATCATGAGTTTTCAAGGATGGTGATCTTCTTGTACGTAATAAAGAAATTGCAGTTGGTAGCACACCAGTTGCATCAATTTTCACAATTAAGGCTTGCTTGATTATGAAAAGGAAAAAAGTGACTTTTTTTTTTATTCTTCAACTTAGAGTCAGCGTAATGACTTAAGATACAATTTCATACAAACAGGCTTTCAGTCCAGCTAAAAGATAACAATCTTCATACAATTCCCAACCGAAGGGCTTTCCACCTTCATAGCCAACCAACCAGAACCGCCCCCATATCAAAAACCTTCTACTTTGGTTTTCAAACAAAGAAGGCCAACAACTCTTGAAAGCCTTAATACTAAAAGAGGTCTAAAAATAAAAATAGAAATTTCACGATCTTGAAATATAACCCAGCATACTTGCATGTTGCATATAGATGCTATTATCTAAAAATAAAATCGCAGAACTAACTTAGAGAATATTTAAATGATTTTTAGAAGCCTTACTAGGCTTAGTTAACCAATGTTCTTCCACTCAATTGGTAGCCAAGCTCATCATCATTAATTTTTGAAGTTCTAAAATCTGTCCTGAATGCAGCTATATCTCTCTCCTCTCGCTCTAAATTTCTATATAATCTACTTTTGTTCCTGGTATTGTTTAGCTTATATGTTATAGGTACGAAATAGAATAAATCTTTTTCCTTCCATATTTTATAACAGAAGATTAGGATAATTTATTCAGTACAAAGTATTAGTTCTGGAGCCACGTATCCCAGAGATGGAAAAACTAATAAGAGGGACAGTTCCCCAGCATAAATTTTTTGACTTTAAACACAGAGAAAGTTAACCCATCTTCATAAAAAGTTTGACAAGTTGAAGATCCTAGATGTAATATATGGATAATGGAGATTTCCATGCAAAGGCACAAAATGTGATTTAATAAAGCTCGACATTGTTTAGCGAAGGTGAAAGAGTTCAAAAAAATATCTAATAAATATAAAGAAGCTGATATAAATGCAATGCGTATGAAAGACAACAAAGTCACTGGAGAGAAATGGCATCGATCAAGATTTTTTTAGTTATGAAGTTAATTGAGCTCAGAACCCTAAACTGATTTTTTATCAACAAAATCATGCAAATTTAGGAGCATATGAGCAGTTTAACAATCCACTGAGAAAAAGAGAGAATTTTAAATAAAACATCAATGGAGCAGGCAAATTTACAACCTCCAAGAATGCTTAAAATCAAGAACTGAAACATATAAATAATTAGAGAAATAAAACAAAATAAGCATAAAGATGACACAATAACTAGCAAATTTTTAGAAAACATAGAAAAGTTGCACACGAGGTTGATACCTTATATCAACAGCTCGCAAATTAGTGCATATCTGAGATACTTTTGACAAACCAATATCAGTAACATTAGAACCAGAGATGTCTAAAATCTCCCACAAATTATCAGCTAGTGCAACAAGTACATCGTCATTCAGTAATTGTCTCCTCCTTGCAATTGCCAACAGTACCAACTGCGCATAGTTGAATTCATAAAAACCAGTCTGAATGATGCAAGATAAACAATATGCAAGTATAAATGCAATCAAATACATGAAGCATGCAGAATTCAGAGCATCATTTTTTTTTTAATTGTTTCTGCATATGATCTTAAGTATAAATAAAGCATTAGCATCATACTAGGTCATCATCATTATCATCATAATCCTCTTTTCCAACCATTTGAATTCACCATATTATATGCCATGTCATTTTCTAATTGTCCAACAGCAGAGAAAAATTAGATTCAATTACGTGTAAAATCCTAGTACAAAATGCATTCATAAACGAAGTAACATTCAAAACAAAACAACAACAGCAACTGATCTAAGAAACTAATGAAATTTATCTCCTGATAGTAGATCTTCTGCTCATGATAGACAACAACAACAATACACCAAGCTAGAAGTGACAGCTTAAGGCTTTGTTGGTCATGACTACAGGGGTTAGCCTACTTGTTAAGTAGGCAACTATCTGGGTCATGCTAGCAGCAGAAGCGACAGCTGAGCTTTGTTTGGTATGGCTCCAGGGGTCTACTCACTGTCCAACTGATTGGCTTTACATGCTGTGGGCTCCGAAAATTCGGCCCCGGCCTCCACTCGCTCTTCTTTTTATTCGGCGAGGGAGTTTTAACGGAATTAAGTTCCGGGGTAAATTTTGGAAGGCAGATGGGTTTGTAGATAAGACACTACCCAAAGATTTCGCCCTCATTTTGTGAGGACTTTATGATTTGAGTTCTGGTTTCCTATAGGCGCAAGCCCCTATAGTTAATTACCCCTCCCGATGACGAGAGAGAACTTTTGATTAAGGCTAGTCGTCATTCAGATACATAGAGAATACGTGGTATCTGACATATAGTAGCAACAATAAGATTAAGATTTGGAGATTTAGAATTTGAATGTTTGGAATCTTGGAAATTTGAAAAGTTGGGAGATTTGATATTTAAAAAAGGAAATTTCAAGTTTACCTTCAACTCTCTCTCCAGTCTTATCAACAAGAAGAATATCATAAGCAAAAAGCATACACCAAGGTACATCCTCTTGCAAATGTCTAGTGAGAACATTCATGACTAAAGAAAAAAGATACGGGCTTAAGGCTGATCCTTGATGTAACCCAACCGAAATAGGGAAATACTTGATCAATCCACCTTGTGTTTGAACACAAGTAATAGCTCCTGCATACATATCTCAATAAAAATCACAATATTGAAATATAACCCAGCATACTTGCATGTTGCATAAAGATGCTATATGCTATTATCTAAAAATAAAATCGCAGAACTAACTTAAAGAATATTTAAATGATTTTTACAAGCCTTTTTAGGCTTAGTTAACCGATGTTCTTCCACTCAATTGGTAGCCAAGCTCATCATCATTAATTTTTGAAGTTCTAAAATTTGTCCTGAATGCAGCTCTCGCTCTAAATTTCTAGATAATCAACTTTTGTTCCTGGTATTGTTTAGATTATATGTTATAGGTACGAAATAGAATAAATATTTTCTTTCCATATTTTATAACAGAAGATTAGGATAATTTATTCACTACAAGGTATTAGTTCTGGAGCCATGTATCTCAGAGATGGAAAAACTAATAAGAGGACAGTTCCCCAGCATAAATGTTTTGAACTTAAACAGAGATAAAGTTAACCAATCTTAATAAAAAGTATGACAAGTTGAAGATCCTAGACGCAATATATGGATAATGGAAATTTCCATGGAATTAGTAGGCACAAAATGTGATTTAATAAAGCTCGGCATTGTTTATTGAAGGTGAAAGAGTTCAAAAAAATATCTAATAAATATAAAGAAGCTGATATAAATGCAATGCATTATGCATATGAAAGACAACGAAGTCACTGGTGAGAAATGGCATCGATCAAGATTTTTTAAGTTATAAAGTTAATTGAGCTCAGAACCCTAAACTGATTTTTTATCAATAAAATCATGCAAATTTTGGAGCATTTGAGCAGTTTAACAATTCACTGAGGAAAGAGAGAATTTTGGATAAAACATCAATGGAGCAGGCAAATTTACAACCTCCAAGAATGCTTAAAATCAAGAACTGAAACATATAAATAATTAAAGAAACGTAACAAAATAAACATAAAGATGACACAATAACTAGCAAATTTTTAGAAAACATAGAAAAGTTGCAAACCAGGTCGATACCTTATATCAACAGCTCTCAAATTAGTGCATATCTGAGATACTTTTGACAAGCCAATATCAGTAACATTAGAACCAGAGATGTCTAAAATCTCCCACATATTGTCAGCTAGTGCAACAAGTACATCGTCATTCAGTAATTGTCTCCTCCTTGCAATTGCCAACAGTACCAACTGCACATAGTTGAATTCAAGGATTACAAATGTACAACAAGAATAGTTTCAGAAAAGAAAATGTCATATAATATATAGCTCATAGATATCATTATTCATAAAAAACCAGTCTGAATGATGCTAGATAAACCTATACAAGTATAAATGAAATCAAATACATGAATCATACAGAATTCAGAGCACCATGCTTTTAAATTGTTTCTGCATATGATCTTAAGTAGAAATAAAGCATTAGCATCATACTATGTCATCATCATTATCATTATAATCTTCTAATTCCAACTATTTGAACTCACCATATTATATGCATGTCATTTTCAAATTGTCCAACAGCAGAGAAAAATTAGATCCAATTACGTGTAAAATGAGATTGCATCTCATCCTAGTACAAAATACATTCATAAACAAAGTAACATTCAATACAAAACAACAACAGCAACTGATCTAAGAAACTAATGAAATTTATCTCCTGATAGTAGATCTTCTGCTCATGATAGACAACAACAATACTACACCAAGCTAGAAGTGACAGCTTAAGGCTTTGTTGGTCATGACTACAGGGGTCTGCCTACTTGTTAAGTAAGGCAACTATCTGGGTCATGCTAGCAGCAGAAGCGACAGCTGAGCTTTGTTTGGTATGGCTCCAGGGGTCTTCTCACTGTACAACTGATTGGCTTTACATGCTGTGACTATAAGAGGGAAAATGGTTCCCAGAATCCTGCATGTTTTTCAGTAAGCTTCATGCAAAACCTCACCTGCGAACGGCATGGTAACTGACAATGCCGCTGCCGCATTACAGAAGGGAAACCATGCCCACTAGGGCTTAAATTTAACATAGATTTGTATATAATTAAGTGTATGAACTATATAGAATTATGCAATCCGTTTCCAGATGTAGAAAAACAGATTAGAATTGCAGATGTGCCCATGCCTCCAGTGAATACAAGTTCGTTCAAATATATTTAAACAAAAGACCTTTGATATAAAAAATAAAGTAACAAACCCAAGTTTCAATAAACATTGGCAAGGACAAAGGAGATCCCATTTAACTGAAAGATCATATAACAATAATAAAAGATAAAGTCATCACTTTTTCATTTCACCAGGATACCTTGATATCAGCTGGAAATTCTGCAGCAATCTCCAATATGTCTGCAATGATATCCTCTAAATGTTGACCAAGGACTCCAATACACAAACTAACTAGCCTTTGAGCCTTCTTCTTCCTAAATGGTAAAGCTGAAGATTCATGTGCAGCAAATAAGTATCGATTTAGCAAAAATGCATGTTTTCCTCAATTTTCGAGGAAGCACAAAAAAACTAGTCTTATTATTCATTTGAAAAGAGATTTCCCTTCTACTTTGACAGGCTATAACGGATTTCAGCACAATTAAAAATTCTAGCAAATATGAAAACAGGCAACACGGTAAATTTGATAGCAATTTAGAGTTGCGGGTTAAGCTAACTGACATGATAAATGAACTTATTCATGATGTTTTATCATGAACCAAGTAAAATTAACACTTCATTATCCCAAAACCTCATCAAGAATAACCCAATTTTTAAATTAGAAAAAAACATTAATTAAGCTAATAAAACTATATACAAGAACAAAGAATACATGATTCAAATCCAGCTCATTTGTAGGAGAAAGTACCATTGTCACATGAACTAGCCCCCACGCCCATCCCCACCCGCTTATCGCACAACCAAACTCCACCCACATGTAGCAACATTTAACTGTTGTTCAAGTTAAGCTGACTGCAAAACCGTAGAAATTCCTAGGGCTAAATTTTAAAAAAGAGTGGGAATGAGCATCAACCAGAATAAATTTAAAAAGGAGTGAAGTAACCAAACTGATTGGCGCATTCAAGTGAATGTGCCAAACGGTTTGATTACTTCGCTTCTTTTTAAATTGATTTGGATGAAGCATTCAAGTAAATGTCAAACAATTTGACGCATTTAAGCCACTATTCCTTCTTTTGCCGACAACCATATCCAAAAAAACCCACAAGCAAAGACAAATCTGTGAAAATTGCATGCTGGCGAGGCTGCGGAGATGCTGCAAGCTGCCTATATAAGTTGTTTAAGCTCGAAGGCGATTTCATCCCAGCATAGGATTTCATACCTGCGCGTAGTAGTTCTTAAGGCACTGCAAAGAGGTTAGTTAAACTTTATTTGTTTTAGTAATTTTTATGTTATTTATTTCTAATTTTATATCTTTAAATTTGTGTTATTATTTCATGAATTTTATCCAGAATTATGTAATTTTTATTTTTTTTCAGTTTATTTGTTTTAGCAGTTTGTATGTTTTTGTCCCCAAATATTATAGTTTTTGTTTATTTTTTGTTAAAATTTGAGGATATAAAATTAATTGTAGGAATGGATAATATAGATAGTAAATATTTATATATTTTAAATAATATAATATAAATTAGTAGAAGCTCACAATAAAGACGGTCACCCCAATGCCTTATCATATCAATCGTACTGAGCTCACAATAAAGACTGCCACCCCAACGCTTTATTATATAAATCATGCTAGCGTTGGAAAAAATAAACATTAAAGTGACTGGTCAAATGACTTAATTAACCACCGTTTTAATGAACATAGAACAAGATTACACCCAACAATCATTTATTGGTTTGACCTTAAGGATATAGTTAGTTCTATTTAAGCTTTGTGGTGCCGTTGCTTCCCGCACAACAGAAGTGCTTGCAAAGCCTCCCATTCTTATTCCTATCCTAGCCTCATATTAGAATCTCCTTGACACTACAATCATGTGGGCGTGTTGTCCCAAACAAACAAAGATAGCAATCACATCATGCAATGTATGCTTGAGCAAATCTGTGCCTCTTTGCCCAAATTCTATGCTAAAGATGAAGGCTAAGGAAAACGAGGTATTTCATTGTTGCACCCACAATTGAGATATAGATTTAGATGAACTACTTTGGAGGCTACATTCGGAGGCCATAATCATATAATGACAACAGTGAAGAGTTTCTTACAAAGGCTGAATGAAAATAGGTGCATAATAGATTTTTAGAGGAAGGTGGACATCTTCTCGGGCTTCATTTCCTTTACATGAGGTACCATTAACTTGTTTAAAAGAAGTTAAAATTTTCAACAGAAAGCTGTACAAAGCGTGCAAAGGAAAATACCCCAAACATAATGTATCACAACTGGGAAAGGCATGATTCTTCCGTGTTACATGAGTATGACAAAATTATGCAAACTTCATCAAGGGGTAAAGGAAAGAAATTTTTATCTGGAGACAACTGGCAAGAATTGCAGTGATAGTTTCAATATATGTTAGTGCTGCCAGATGCAAAGTCAGTTGTGGGCACGCATTCGTTTCTTGCTTAAGAAACGAGCAGACATTTAAATTAAGTTTAAACTGTCTCTAAATCCCAAATCAGATATTTTTGTTATTGTGTTGAGGATTGTTTGACATCTCGTGTTTGTACGATCATGTCAAAAATTCAATTGTAGTTTCTTAAAAAAATTTAAATAGTCACAAATGTTGAAAGTAAGATGACAATTTTGATTTGAGTAAACCGTACTCCACATTATTAATAATACAAAAATATAATTATAAACTTATTTTAGTATTATTTATTGATATTTACATTGGATTCCTGCTTGAGAGAGACGATAAAAAATTACATCAACAAGGGCTGTCAATATATTGCCAAAAAAATTCACATATATGTGAGTTGTCTGATCATTCATTGTCGATTTCTTTGAGTACGAATAAAAATAATGGAAATTTTTAGTTACCCAGTGAACAATAATATATATATATATATATATATATATATAATTTATTAATTAATTATAGTATTTTAATTTATTCAATTTCTAATGCAAAAAGGTGGGTTGGTAACTTCATTACTTTTTATATTTATTCGGGTTGATGTTCCTTCTGCTTTTTAATACATTGTGTTAATGCTATTGTGTTTCCTGAAAGCAACGTACTGTTGTATGGCCTAAATACAACGACAAGTATGCAAGGGCCGCTGCATTGACGCACGGGTGCAGTGCGAAATAGGCAAGTGTCCACACATCAAGGATAGATGTGGGCAAAGAAGCTAGTCCATAAAATTAAAATTAAGATAAGAACTTGGAATATAAGTTCCCTTACAGGCAAATTAATGGAATTAATAGATATTATGATTTATAATAATATAAATATTCTATGCATTTAGAAAACTAAATGAGTTGAAGAGAATGCTAAACAGATTGATAGTTTATGATTTAAACTATGGTATTCTGGTAAAAGTCGTACTATAAATAATATAGGTGTAATTATAAATAACAATTTAAAGGATAATATTGTAAAAATTAAATAAAGTTAAAGATAGGATTATAGCTTTAAAGATTATTATTGACATTAAGATTATTAATATTATAAGTGCTTATGCTCTTCAAATAGGTTTTTGTATATGGATTCAAAATTAAAATTTTGAAATGATTGAAAAATTAATATAAAAGATACCTTTTAAGGAAAAAAATTATTGGAGGAGATTTAAATGAATATGTTAGTAGAGATATAAATGATTTTAAAAGCATTTATGATGGCTATGAGTATGGAGCGACTAATGAAGGTGGTAAGACCATATTAAATTTTTTTAGCTTATCATTTTATAATTGCTAATACCTTATTTAAGAAAATAGATAAGCATCTCATAACTTATAAAAATGGATATAGCAAAACTCAAATTAATTATTTTCTTATAAGAAAATTTGATCGTTTATAATGCAAAGTTATTCCGAGTGAAAGTTTATATACCCAACATCGCTTCTTAGTTTTTGACTTTAAGATGAAGGGGCAGAAAATAAAAAATAAAGTAAAACGTTGTTCTAGGATTAGATGAGAGATTTTAAATAATAAAAAAAAATTAGAGAATAAGATACTAGATCTTAAGATTTTATCTGTGCATGAGAAAACTAATATTATGTGAAAAAAAAATGGCTAGTGATATTAAGAATATTGCAAAAGATATGCTTAGAGTATCAAAGAAAAAAACACCTAATAGTAAAAATAGTTAGTAGTGGAATCAAAATGTTCAAGAAAAGATAAAAACTAAAAAGATTTGTTATAAAAATTGGTTTAGATGTAAAAATTGTAATATTTGAAAAAATATAAAGAGACCTATAAGGAATTAAGAAAATAATATGTGATGCAAAATTTTTTATTTTTAACGATTTATATAATAGATTAAATACTAAAGAAGGTGAAAGATATATGTATAATTTAACCAAACAAAGAGATGATATTAAGAATTTAGTTCGAGTGAGGTGTATTAATGATGAAAATAAAAAAAAAAATACTTTTATTAGAAGAGGATATTCAACAAAGGTGGATGAAATTTTTTTCTAAACTTTTCAATGAAGATTATGAGAATGTGATTGACTTTAGTGACCTTAGCACCCTAAATGAAAATAAAGATTTTTGTTTTTATCGGCGAATTAGTAAAATTGAAGTTAGAGAGGCTTTAAGAAAAATGAAGTGTGAAAAAATTATTGGACCTGATGATATTCCAATAGAGAGGTGAAAATGCTTAGGAGATGAAGAAATTTCTTGGCTTAGTAAACTTTTTTAATATTATATTGAAAACTAAAAAGACATTAGATGAGTGGAAAATGAGTGTGTTGATTCTTATTTTTAAGAATAAAGGTGATGCACAATATTATGTGAATTATAGCGGAATTCTGTTAATCTGTCATACTCTAAAACTACGGGTGAGAGTTATCGAGCATAGGTTATGACATGATACTAATGTTTCTCAAAATCAATTTTCATGCCGGATAGGCCTATTATGGAAGCTATACATTTATTAGAGGTTTGATGGAGAAGTATATAGAGAATAGGGAAGGTTTATATATGATATTTATTGATTTAGAGAAAATATATAATAAAGTTCCAAGAGAAGTGCTAGGGAGAGTTCTAGAAAAAATAGGGGTTAATAATGCTTATATTCAAGTCATCAAGTATATATATGCATAAGCTATTGCTTTTGTTTAAACACAAGGTGGTTTGATCAAATATTTTCTTATTTCAATCTGATTACATCAAGGATCAATCTCAAGTTCATATCTTTTTTGCTTTAGTCATGGATGTTCTCATTAGACATTTGCAAATTGCAAGAGGTTGTACTCTAGTGCATGTTTTTTGTTGATGATATTCTTTTTGATAAGACTAAAGAGAAAGTTGAAGGCAAACTTATGGAGGCAAATCTTAGAGTTTAAAGGCTTTCGTTTGAGTAGTTATAAAACTAATTATATAGAGTGTAATTTTAATAATAATAGATCTATGGGGGGATTGTGACTTTGGGTGATCAAATCATTAATAAGAGTACACATTTTCAATATCTTGGGTCTATTGTTCAGAGTGATAGTGAAAGGTAGAGATAAACCTAAAAAGACTTGGTTAGAAAATATTAGAAATAACCTTTCTTTATTAGATTTAAATGAGAATTTAACTTTTAATATGACACAATGGAGAAAAAGGATTCATGAAGCCGACCCTACATATTGGATAAAGGCATAATGTTGTTGTTGTTGTTGTAGAGAGAGAAGTGAAACTTTGATTTCAATTCCTTCAATGATAATCCCATGTTATAACTCATATTTATAGAAATTGAGTTATAAAGATGAGCCAAAATAATTTAAAATCAACCCTAATCCTATATAATACTAAATCAAATCTTAACTAGTTCCAATTTAATCCCAATAATATCCAATTCATACTTATTTAAATTTAGAAAAATCTAAATATCAAAATAAAAAATGAAATAAATCCTTATGTTTACAAAATAATAAATCTATACTTGAATTATTTTATTATATTGCATTAATGGTTAGTTATCCAACCCTAAAATTTTGAAATTGCACTTCTAACGCTAGTAACATTCCATACAATATACTACTTGCGTGCCTTCAATTTTAGCAGACCCCCCTTGACAATTGATTTGATGTGCCATTTTTTTTAAATATTTAAATTTTCAAAACAACTCAAATCTTTCATTAAGAAATAAATTATTGTTCCTTCAAAAAAAAAAAAAATCTAGGCCAAAGCCAATTTTCAAATTAAAACAATTTTCACTAACATATTTTTCCTAAAAACTAATTAGTTGTTAAAATACAAAAAAGGAAAAAAAAATCCTCACTGGTACTTGGGAAAATATTTATCAATTTCAAAGTTTTAAAATTTGCTAGAGTAATTTCTGTTGAGCAATGGCATTTTGATTGCAAGTAGTAGCAAGCTATGTAAACACCAAAGTATATAACCACCAGAAACAGAGAGAATGTGTATTGTTATAAACAATTCTCTCTTAGTTGATTTTATTTGAGTAGATTTTCTTTTTATTATATTTAGTTTTGTCATGCCTTTGATGATTTCTATAAGAACAGTTTATATTCTCTAATGTTTTGAACCCATATCCCTAATTTGGTTTGGTTTCCTTGGGTCAATTCAGCTCTCTATAGTTTAGTTCGGTTCATTATTTTGGCTTTGATTCAAAATGTTTTAGCCCAATTCAATTTCTATTCATCGTTATGTGGTTTATTGTTGATAAGACTAAAGAGGGATTTGAAGGTAAACTTGAATTATGGAGGTCAACCATAGAGTCTAAAGGTTTTCGTTTGAGTAGATCTAAAACAGAATACATGGAGTGTAATTTTAGTACTAATAGATCTAGTGGAGGGTTTATAACTTTGAGCGATCAAGTCATTAATAAGAGTACACATTTTAGATATATTGGGTCTATTGTTCAGAGTGATGGTGAAATTGAAGGGGATATTATTAGTAGAATTCAAGTTGGATGGATGAAGTGGAGGAATGCATCGGGCTTCTTGTGTGATAGAAAAGTATCACTCAAACTTAAGGCAGAATTCTATAAGATGGTGGTTAGACCTGCATACTTTATGGCACAGAATGTTGGCCATTAAACGATAAGCATAATATTAAGTTGAAGTGTTGTAAAGATGAGGATGCTAAGGTGGATGAGTGGCTTTACTCTTAGATATAGGATACGAAATAAATACGTATGTGAAAAGGTTGGAGTGGCTCCAATGGTAGATAAGATTAGAGAGAGTTGCCTTAGATTGTTTTGGTCACATAACAAAGCAGCCTTCCGATGACCTGATTAGAAGAGTAGATGTATTAGATTTAAGCTAATGTTAAGAAAGGTAGATGTAGACATAAAAATATTTGGTTAGAAAATATTATAAATGACATTTCTTTATTAGATCTAAATGAGAATTTGACTCTTAACCGGACACAATGGAGAAAAAGGATTGATGTAGCCAACCCCACGTAGTGGGATAAAAGCTTGATGTTGTTGTTGTTGTTGTTGCTTGTTGTTGTTTGTTGTTTTGTTCTTCAATTAGATTGCATCACTAGTCTCTATGGTTTGGTATTTTAGGCCGCTAATTAGGGTGTTTTGGCTGCCTCGCTTTGGGATATTAGATATTTGAGACTTCAAACTACCTATGCTTCCACATGAGATCATATTGCTTTTTCAAGCTACCTCTACGTATGAGTTTTGCAAGGCTTCCGTGAGATTAGCCCTTGCATTTATCAAGTTTTAAAATTACTTTGTCTTGCCAATCTAGCAAGCGCATCCTGTGCCAAATTTCTATAGGTTGCTTTTGTACTTGAATTTCACCGAGAGCTTTTAAACATTCAAGCGGATAAAGAGTTGTCAACTTTCTTTTCTCATATGGGAGAAGAATTTTATGATTATAAATAGATGATATGTGAGGTATGTAAACATCAATTCCAATAATAATTTATTTCGAGTATTTTATTTCCTCTTTGTGATTGACTGCCTGTTGGACATGAAACTTTCTAGCATGGTGCAAGTGAAGACAATCAACCTCCAAGGAAATTTTGCATGTTTTCTAATCTTCATCAAAAGATATGAAAACTTATTTAAATTGTGAACTGCAAATTTTGACTTTAGATGAATGATTTCATGCATTAGATCATATAGTTGCATATGAAATTTCTAGACAGTAAAATGTCCGGCATTACTCATTAGTCTCATAATTAAGGCCCTCACTTTGCCACTAGTGAGCAATTAAACTTAGGTAACCAGTGGGAAACCATTTACTTGAACTATGAAACAAAAAGGTTCCTACCTTCTAGCGCCTAAATAATGCACAATGTTAAAGATAGAATTGAATGATTTCATTTTTCTAGTTTACAAACAACTGCTCCGGCAGAAAAAGATATAGCTACATCTGCCGTATTTAAACTTTCCTGCCTTTTCACCTTTACTAAGTTTGACCTTCAACATGACCACCTCTGAAAACTAACCGCATCTGGTCGGCATATATGATGGCATCTTTACCAACGTAGCAATAGATAACAAATCATCAATAAAATGCGAATCCGTAACTAAGAATTAGCAAATTGTTTTGCAGGCCACGATTGTATCTAAAACAGAAACCTAACACAAAACACCAGTAAGCACAAGGGTTGATGAGAACGATTTGATATTGGAGAAAGGACTCATACCAAGAGGACGAATCGAAGGGGAGGAAACGACTGGATTTCGAGGAGGATCAAGCTGGAGAACTTTTATGGCAGACGATGCGTCTTTTGCCGCCCACTTGGTTTCCTCCATGACTGCTCGAAGGGCTCCGTTACTTTGGGCTAGAAGACTTATTTGATCGTAAGGTCTATGTATATAAATAATAAAATGTAAATGTTACATGTGTAAAATCTTATTTTAGGTGATATTAATGTAAATCCCACAATATAAATTTGTGTGTTTGATAATTTTTAAATTATTAATATTAATTTATATTAATTAACTATGATATACTAGTTATAAAATATTAATTAAAAAAGATATATTAGTTGAAATTTAATTAATCTTCATAATTAATATTAATTAATTAAAATATATTAATTTAAAAATATCATTTGTGATCTTATTTAATGTAAATAATCTTTAGTTAGTTATATTAATCAATGTTGTTTATAACTTAAGCAAAGTAATCATAATTGATAAAAATTTATTAATTAAAATTGTTAATATACAATCATGCAAATAATATCAATATACATTAATTAAAAAGTTATAACAATCTTAGTAACTAATAAAAAATATATTAAAATGATGAATTGATATTATTTTTATTTAATTTATCTAAATAGAAGTTAGTATTTAAATAAATAAACTAATCATTACTGATTAATTAAGATGTTTAACTAGACTAATTATATTTTAATTAATCTAATTAAAGTTGATATAAGTCAAGAATGGATAATAAAATATTACAATCATAAAAATCTTTAAATTTTAAAATAAAAAGCCACATAGTTTATCTAGATTTAACACGGTTCAACACCTATCTTATCAAATAGTTTCTCCTTGTATTTTTTTTGGAAGATAGGAAATAAGTTCCAAATTTGACTAATTATTAAGTTTTGGGGTTTCAAAATATTTCAATAGGTCGTCGTGTTCAGATACAACCTAAAATTTATCCAACCCGAATTCGATCAACCCAAACCCGACTAGTTTAATAAATGGGTTGAACACGAACCAGAGCCGCTAGCAACCCGAACACATATGAAAATCCATTTTAATTAAAAATTAATTTTATTAGCTTATTAATTATAGATTTTAGGCTAATTAATAAAAAAATAAAATATTATACCAATAAATAAATAAAATTAAGAAAAAAATATTAAATGGGTCTACTTTGGATCAAAGTTGCAACCTGATTAATAAACGGGTCGAAATGCATGACCTAAACCCAACCCGTTTATTAAACGGGTCAACTCAAACATATATTTTTCGGATTGGGTTCGAGTCAGATTGCCGAATCGAGTCATTTATTGATATCCCTAATTAAGATTTAGGTCATCAAAGTACTTCTTCTCAACCAAATAGAACAATAGGTTGTAGAACAAGACAAAAGAAGTGGGTGTTTAGCAAGGGAAAGAACCTTAAAATAAACTTATTTGAGTTAGTACATACAATCTTGTTTATGAGACTAATGTGTACACAAAAAGATGATCAAATCCATGTAATCAATCACAATAATGTGCTAACTCTTCAAGAAGATTTAAAATTTTAAATTGTTTTATCTTTTTCTAGTCACTTCAAAGAGACGAGAATTAATGAACTACATGCAAATCCTAGCTCTCTCTCTCTCTCTCCTTTTTTTCCCCTCATATTTTCTCTCATATTTATCTATCATTCTTATTAGTAAAGCTGTGTTACCCACAAACATTTTATATTACAAAATTCTCTTATTAAACTATGCTATATAATTTTATTTGTATAATTCAAATGCAGTATTTCTTGTTGTGTTGAATCTCAATCTAAACATATAAGTAAATAATCAATTTGTATTTAAACATCTTGATTAACTCGAGTCACATCAATTTCTATTTATGATAACAATCTATAGCAAATGCCTCTCAACTTGATCTAATATCGTTGGTTAAGATGCAAATTGCTTCCATGATAACATTATGCTTCGACTTTTACTATTCCTCAAAGAGAGAGAGAGAATTCCAAAAAATATGAAGTATGAACTCTCTCTAGCTCTTTCTCTTTTAATTTTTATTAATTTTTAATAAAATTCAATTTAATTTTGGCACAATTTAGAATCAAACACTTGTTATGTCACGATTCAAACTATTGGGGTAAGCGAGCAAAGCCAACTCAAATACATGCTTGAGTTCAAGCTTGATGATGCTCTCTTTGTTGGCTTATGATCCACCTTGATGTGAAATTTTTAAATGCTAAATCCCATCTCTTCTATACTTAATTTTAAATCTCGAACTCTTATTTCTTCCATCACGATGTAAATGCCTTCTTTGACTATCATGTTTTATTTTTGTGGAGGTTTTCAAAAAATTAGAGAAGAACAAGCTTGCAAATCGAGTTCGAGATTTTTATAGATATGAAAAGCCAAGCTCCAACTCAATATACGAGGCCAACTCAAGCTCCAGCTTAAGTTCAAACCTATCTTGGAATAGGTGAGTTAAACTTTTTTTTTTTGTTTGGAACATTTGAGTCATTAAGTTAATTTCACACATACATCACATATATAAGTTTTGAATTTAAATATCTTAATTAATAATCAAAGCTCCTAATCAATAGATCAATATGAGATGGATGAGTTGAACTTGAGTTGTTTATGGCTCCATCTCCACTAAACTAGATTTACACCCATGCACGCGGGCCATCCATCAAAGGGCGAATTATTGAGGCTTTCGACGCTCCGCACCTCCGCCCTTCTCATTTGTAAATCCATGACCGGAGGAGTTGCTGGCCCTTCAAAGGCCAGCAATGCGCGGCCACTTGAGCGCCGCCGAGGTAAGACTCCTCCCTCTGCGCCGCCAAGCTTCTTCTATTGCCCGCTCACAATGGCACTTCTACTCCTCCGCATCCACCATCATCGGCGGCTCCGACGATCACCAACAGGATCCACCATGGGCCGCTTCCAACCACCTCTTTCATAAACATCCCCGTCTCTTCTCCCTTGAACGCTGCAACTCTCTCCATTGCCTCAACCCTATCCTCGCTTACACCATTGTCTCCGGGCTCTTTCGCAACGCCTTCGTCGCCAGCCGCATCCTCCATTCCACCATCACCATACCTCCCCGAAACCCCTCCATTGCCTTCTCTATCTTCTCCCAAATATCCCGACCTAATGTTTTCTCCTGGAATGCCATGATCAAAGCCCTCGCATCCACCTCGGCCTCCTCGCACGGCGCTATTTCTCTGTTTGTCGAAATGCGCCGAAAAGGCGTATCCCCAGATAAGTACACCCTGCCGTTCCTTCTCATGTCATTTACTTCAATCGAAGATCTTAATAAGGGTAGGTTGATCCATGCCTCTTCCTTCGTGTTTGGATACGAATCCAACCTTTTTGCGCAAACACGGATATTATCTATGTACATGGATTGTGGGGATCCAGTGAACGCCCAACAGTTGTTCGACGAGATGCCGAGCAGAGATGTCGTCACCTGGACTTCGGTGATCTCAAATCTGAGCCGGCAAGGCTGCCATGAACAAGCGCTTGCTGTTTTTAATAAGATGAGGGATGATGATTCAGTCATTAGACCTAACACCGCAACCATGGTCTCAGCCATGTCCGCTTGCTCAAGCTTGGGTTCCTTGAATCACACCAAAAACCTCCATGCCTGCCTTGTGAAAACAGGATTCGAAGACCATGTATTTTCTAAGAATTCGCTGATAGATGCTTACGCCAAGAGTGGTAGCATTGCCTGCGCTCACCAAGTGTTCGATAGAATAACGGAGAGAGACCTCCAGTCCTGGACTACGATGATAATGGGCTTGGCCTTGAACGGGCACGGCCAAGATGCCATTTTTCTCTTCTCCCAGATGCTGAGAGATGGTTTGCTACCAGACTCGACCACTTTTATCGCAGTTCTCTCTGCATGCAGCCATGCAGGCTTGGTAAATGAAGGGATTGAGATATTCGAATCCATGGAAGGGGATTTCGGAATTAGTCCAGAGCTCATGCATTATGGTTGTATGGTTGATCTTTTCGCTAGAGCCGGGCATCTATATCGTTCATATGAGTTCATCTCAAGCATGCCAATGGAGCCCAACTTGGAGATATGGGGTTCTTTGTTGAGTGCTTGTAGCGTTCATGGAGATTTGGAATTAGGTGAGCTTATTTCTAGGAGAATCGATTCATCAACACGTCAATGTAGAGGAGGAGCTAGCGTGATTCTGTCAAATTTGTATGCGAACAGTGGGCAATGGCAGGACGTCATGGTGATTAGGAGGGGGAGGAGAGGGGACGGTGGTAAGCCTCCTGGTCGGAGCTGGATTGATGTTAGAGGTGTTGTGCAAGAGTTTGTGGTAGGAGATAGGCTGCACCCACTAGCTAAGAAGATTGAGTGGGTATTGAATGGGTTGGCTAAAGCGATGGAAGGAGTTTTGTAAGAAAATGTAGAAAAAAAAAAACGTTACATTGAGTTCATTATTTTTTTTAAT